ACGTTTTATGTTAAAAACAAAACATTATTTATGCATCTGTAACTGCAGTTTAAATGCATCCATGTCCCCTCTGAGATACATAAACGGTGCAAATACATCTAAATGCTATTTCAGTTGCAGTTTCCAGAAATGTTTTCTTATGTTGGAATGAAAGACGCTAAGTACCGGATGAAGTGCTTCTTATTCTTACCCAAAAATACAAAATAGATGCCAGTGTTTCCTGCCGTAGCTACGCAAGGATTTGATTTCAAAAACAGTATCATAACTATTAAACTAGATTCAATTCAAGTTTATTTGTATAGCGCTTTTCATGATACAAACAGCTGCAAAGCAACTTTACAGCAAATTAAGTTTCTACAATATTTAGTAGTAGCTTATCAGTGGTGACTCTCAGTTAATGTACATATGGCAGAAATGTACAGAAAAATCAATTAAAGACGTAATCAAACAGATGATGAACAATATTAAAAGCAATTATTATATGTTGCAATCAAACTTATAGCAAAATTTGGTAGTTCTGTATGTTGTTTCAGGGTTGGCATCATCTGAGGTCCTCTGAGGGGTTGGCATCATCTCTTCTCAGGTGTTCTGGATCCAGACTGAATCTTACGATTTTAAATCTGTATTTAACCTCAGAGATCTCTAAGTAAAAAGAGGTGCTAAAGTCAGATTTTCCATTTCCAAAGTAACCTTCCCAACACTGGCAATAATGTTAGCATAATATTTGCATACTGAATTGTGATTGGTCATCTTTTGGAAATCTGTTGTAACTTTAAAAATGTCTTTACTTTGATCAATTCAGTGTATCCCCAAACTTTTGTACGGTACTGTATATTAATTTGCATACTAAATTGTGGCCTTTCATTTACACAGAACCTAAAACTACCCAACACTGCTTTTTTGTTGCCTTGCAAGCTCTGGTATTTCCTTCAGGAAAAGCAGATCTTGTTTTGGGATGTAACCAAGCGTGTGTCGCCAGACAGTTCTGACTTATTGAAGACTTTGGCTTTTATTTTTCTCCCACACAAGTCGGAAATAGGCTGCCAAACTCAACAGATTTAAGTCATTTAGTGTTTGGCACCACAAGAAGTTGTTTACACATTCCCTTGCCATATGTTAACACTCTTCTTTGAGGGTGGAAACATTTGGTAGACAAAAAAATAAAACAATCTAAACCCGACTGGTGTGAGAGTTAGTTTGATGGTGTGTGTGTGTGAGTGAGAGAGTGAGAGAGAGAGAGAGAGAGAGAGAGAGACTTTTGACTTTTAGGTCTTCTTTAATAATTCAGTAAAAACATAAGAGACCTATATTTTTAAAGAACACAAATATTTAAACATATATATATTTACAATTTTCACAAACATATATACATAAAAAAATGTAAAACAAAAAAAAAAATTTAAATAAATAATAATAATCTACTCATAAATTAAACACAAAACCTTCATGATCATCAGCTTCACATATTAAGCCATCATCGCCCCACACATGAAAAAAATTGACATCATTAATGAGGCTATAATAAGCATATTCCATCATTAATCTTTTCTTTATGAAACCTCTCATCATCAAAACAACGTCCACACTTTCCCTCCCTTCTACTTTATTTTTCCTTGTACACCAGATTGCTAACTTTGCTGCACCATACAAATAATTTAATAAAACCACTTTGGATTTATATTTTGTTGAATATTTAGGACCAAAAATAAACAATTCTTGATTAAAATTTCCTATACACTGTACACTCCAGCTTTCCATTAAACCCAAAATTTGATCCAAACGTGGACACTCAATAAAAATATGAAAAACAGTTTCAGACACCCCACAAAAAGGACAACCCTCATCATCCGAAACATTAAGGAGTACTTTGTGTCTGTTTGTAGCTAAAATCCCATGTACAATTCTCCACTGAAGGTCACCCACCCTCTTTTCAATGGGTCTTTTGTACAGGGACCGCCAGCTACCTTTCGGGGAAGAGCCTGATTCAAACACTGTTGTCCATTTAATGTCTCTTACATTTTTTAAATGTTGATAATTGATGGTTTTTACACAAGCTCTGTAAAGTGTTTGTCTGCTCAAAATGCTAAAAATATTCCGGTGTGTCCATAGAAAATAATACATACATTAGTAATTCATTTGGCACTACATGCTTAATACTTTTTATATATATATTATTATTATTATTACTAATGTTATTATTCTTTTTCTTTCTGTTAATACATATGTGTACTATTTGTAAGCAGTCCAGCTGCAATTGCTTTGGCAATACAAATGTATAACTTTTGTCATGCCAATAAAGCACTCTTAAATTGAAATTGAAATTGAGTGTGTGTGTGTGAGAGAGAGAGAGAGAGAGAGAGAGAGAGAGAGAGAGAGAGAGAGAGATACTGCCAAATAGGTTGTTTGCACATGACGTCACTGATGACGCGCGAAATGCAGCTGGAGGGCAGGAAGTGATTTTTCACCATAGAAATCACTAGAAGAAACTCAAAATGCCTGTGTTTTGCGTTGTTTATGGATGCTCAAATCGACCAAACCGAGAACCCACAAGGAGCTTTTATCGTGTACGAAAATGTGTTGTTCATAAGTGGGGAAAAGTCAAGAAATTGACTGAAAAACGCAGGAAAAAGTGTCTTGTAAACGGTCGGGAGGAGCGGAGCCCGATAATGCTCGTGTGTGCAAATGGTTAATATAAGATATAATAATATATTAAGATATTAATAAAGATATAAATAGATTGGGCTGACACCTCTCACGCCGTCAGCGTGAGACAGTCAGAATTCACTCAGTGCTAAAAGCCACACAGACACGGTGTAAATAAGATATTATTTGCAGTTCAGAGAGCTTCACTGATTATAAAGGAACATCGTTGTTGTGCATGTACAGGGTATGTGGCTGTTGGTCCTGTTAGCAGCACGTAAAACAACTTTTATTTAAATTCTGAATCGATTATAGCCTGGAAAGCGAGCAAATAGCGTTTTCATATAACGCTAATCAATAAAAAGCTGTCACTCACTTCAATTTATCGCAATCTAACGATTCTGTGAACTGCAAATAATATCTTATTTACATCGTGTCTATGTGTGGCGTTTAGCATTCAGTGAATTCTGACAGTGTCAAAACAACTTTTATTTAAATTCTGAATCGATTATAGCATAGAAAGCGAGCAAATAGTGCTCTCATCTAACGTTAATCACTAAAAGGCTCACTCACTTCAATTTATCTCAATCTCACGATTCCGTGATACGAAGCTCTCAGAAATGCAAATAATAGCTTATTTACATCGTGTCTATGTGTGGTGTGTGGCCGATTTGAGCATCCATAAACAACGCAAAACACAGGCATTTTGAGTTTCTGCTAGTGATTTCTATGGTGAAAAATCACTTCCTGCCCTCCAGCTGCATTTCGCGCGTCATCAGAATCACGTGATTGCAAACAACCTATTGACAGCACTGTAGGTAATCCTCAGCAAACAGGAATTAAGTAAATGTCAGCACAATTACACACACCTGCACATTCACAAAATCAACAAACGCCCGATGGGGTTTTCAAACTGGCCTCCGGGACAACCAGGGGTCCACAGATAATTTCAACCGGAAAAAAGTAAGGAAAAAAAGAAAGAAATAGAATTCTAACGACTGGATATAATGAGTTCAATTTAAATATTTTTTATTCAAACAGGAACCAAACAATAGGATTTAATTAAAATTAAATTATAAAATTATAGTTATAAACTAATATTTATATATCTTCATCTCTCCTTTGCAACATACTTTGTATTTGTGTGACTATTTAAACACACACACACACACATACATACATATATACATATATACAAAAAACAAAAATCCAGTACCAATATTAGACTACCCAATTATTGCAAAAAAAAAAAAACAGAATTATTGCACATTGCTAGATGTTACATATGCTACCACACCAGTATATCCATAACGGCAATCAGTGATCGGCAATCATATCGGCACCATATACAAAAAAAAAAAAAAAGTGTTTGTAAATCTGTAAAGAAATCTCTAGTGTCCAATTTTTTCATACAAATGTTTAAAACAGTCTATACATTAAAATGTACAGCTGCCTTGTAATGGGCAATTAATCAAACAAAAGCAATTATCATGCTGAAAAAGACTGTTGCGGTCATTGTGGTTGTGTTGATTCAATTTCTCAGAAGAATACACCACAAAACACACATGACATGCTGTAAACGAGGATGTAGAAATGGTGCGATGGGCAGTGGGCATTTACTTCCATTTCTGCAAGAGGTAATGCCCTTTGAGTATTTTCCACAGAGAGATAAAATGAGAATGGAAATTTGTCATTTTTACAAATATTGGACCGTTATTGGTGAAAAAAAAACTTCATAAACTTATGTGAAACATAAAAATGTAAAACTGCATTTCATGGCCCTTTTAACAGAGCACTTACAAAATGGCAATACTATGATTTTTATGAAAATGTACTATGAGAACAGCACACTTCTTTGAAGTACATTGGAGCACTATGTACAAAATATTTACAGTATTTACAGACTGATACCATCACTGTACTATGTTACCACCACACTATATTTCTTTGGAAGGGTCACTCATTATAAGTGCAAAAGAACCAGTTCATATAGGTTCTTAGTTCATATAGATGCCATTCTTTTTCTTTCTCTTGTAATGCTTGAATTAGTTGGTTTCATGGGGATGCTGGGACTACTCATGCTAGAACAGTCCATTTAAATGTCAGTATGCTTACAGTTTGCTTGCATCTATGTGTGTGCATGCATGCACATTTATGTGTTCTGTAGGCTGTGAAATTACATTTGTCAGACTCTTACGACCCCAGCATGTCGGAGAGCCACAAGTATATAGTGAGCACTTCTCATCCACCCCTCCTTAACATTTTTATTGCACGCTATTCCATCCACATAAAATGTTTCTTAAGTGCAGTCTATAACTGGCACTCTCTCTTCACTTTATTCTGACTGTGGCGTGAGTAACAGAAATGTTTAACATTTATATTCATTGTTTATGTCAGAGGGAAGGATAGACCTTTTAAAATATAGGTTCTAAACACCGCTGGAGAATGAATGGCGGCATTAGAACTTTATCTGTGTGGGATTGTAAATCAAACTGGTTCTGAATGCCTGTAGCCACAAAACCCTCCAGATGTTAGATGATATAACATACTATAGTTACACATTCAAGTCTTAATAGTTCATCCAAAATTCTGTTTTTAGCTAATAACCTTTATGTCTTCCCAGACCTGTATGATTTTCTTTTGTGGAACACAAAAATAGAGGATTTAACAGAATGTCCATGCTGCTCTTTTCTATATAATGAAAGTGGATGGGGACTATAAAGTATAGGAATTCACCAAAATTAAAATGCTGTCTGACACTTATAAGCCGATAATTATCTTTATATCCAAAATTAATTAAAATGTATTTTTTTGTTTAAATAAAATAAACACTAAAATCTGAAATCAATCATTTTAAATGCTAGAATTTAGTCATCACAACATGATATTCATGGATATTCATTTTGACATTTGCTAAAGACTACAGTTAAATGGTATTAGATTTTTAGTGTTTTTATTTTAAATAGATGAAAGCAAAAGTAATCAACATGTAAAAATAGGAGAAATGAGCATGAACAATTAAATATTCAATATCATCTGATACATATTAAATATTAACCCCAAAAAAAGTAATACAAAAGCAGACTAAAACAGACTGAAGTATTTGTTTTGTGAAAAACTATAAATAAGTATACATGTACCAATTTATACACTATATAAATAACTCTGTTTAACAGAAGAAAATCATACAAGTTTCTTAATACACGAGAGAGAATAAATGACAGAATTTTCATTTTATCCATTTAAAGTGGAAATGAAGCAGTCAGTCAAGTTTACATTATTTAGTAAAGTGATTTCCACTTTGATTAAAAACTATATAACGAACAGGATTAATGCAACCATTTTAAAGAAAAAAGGTTGTTTTGTTATAGCTTTTAGAGCAAGGGCGCCGCCATCTTGCAGTACCACCGCGTGTGACGTCACGGGGTTGGTTCGCTCCGATGGCCAGTGAAGTAATAGAAGCATTTCTTTACATTTTGAACACGCTTGTTTTGAAATGGAGGAAGATTACATTGAAAGCACTGTTAAGTCCATAATAAGTGCAATTGCCTATGCATTTGAGCCGATACGGCGATGGGACCGAGCAGTATTAGGGGTAGAAGAAAACGCACCGGTAAAGTGCGGATCAGAAACAATACTCGTTTACGTGGATACTCCTCAAGACTGTCATTCCGACGTGCTTTGTGTGCATTTGCTGATGAAGGTGCGACAGAAAGCTCAATTTGGTAGCCTACTCGTGTGCTGTCCGAGCTGTGGCTTTGTGTGTGTGTGCAGAGCAATCTGTTAGAGAAAAAAAGGAGGAGGATATTAAAAACAAAGTTTATCCATTTTTACCGAGGCGATTTAAGGTAAGTTGTAAACACCACATCTGCGCTTGTGTGTACATCTGCCGGCGCCGGCATTTTTCAAATTAACAACGGTTGTTTACGGCGACGCAAAGAATTGTGGATTATCTGTAGCAGCGAAGGATACACCTCATGGATCCTCCGAATTCCTGTGAAAGAAGGTCGCATACGAAGGTCGCATTCGGAGTGTCCTACTTGCTTTTCTGAAATGAGACAGCCTCAATGACGTATGCAGCCTTCGAATGCGACCTCCGGAGGTTTTGTATTCGCAGGTGAACATAAAATATGATACATACAACTGGTGAACCAGTCAATGTAATGCATATGTCTTAATGGTCTGACATAACAATAAAATGCGACATGAATGATGAAGCATTGTCTGGTTACATCACCTGTTTTATGCTGACTTTCTCTCTTTGTCTTTCTTTCTTCACTGTCCCTCTTTCACTCTCTTTCTCTCTGACCAACAGGCCAAGTCTATCAGTAACAAGGTAGGAAGTCAATTTTGTTTCTTCTCAAGGGAATTTTGAGAGAAATAGAGGATAGAGAAAGGGATGGAAAGGTAGAGCAGGGGGAGACAGGGTCCTTATAAACATCACAGCATGAGGTAAACCTCTTTTATCAGTATCAGGTACAAAGTATCTATGTGTTTCACAGCTGAGTAACTACACTAAAACACAAGCCATGTTACTTTTATCCATCTAGATAACCTCTGGTTACAACATATTATTAAACACACATGTAAACACACACATATTTTTTTGTATCAGAGTTTGCCAGGTCAAGCATGAGTAATACTGGTGATATTTGAGAAGTTTTTACATAGGGCTCCACTGTAATTCAGAGAATACTGTGCCATTCAGCACAACTTACAGACCATACATTTATCAGCATATGTGTTTCCTGAGACTGAAACTGCCATATGCTGCCAGTCAAGCTATATGAACTCAATTAACAACCCACGCATTTTTGTATACATATATCATGTATTTGATCTGTCCTGATCAGCTTGTAATTATTTACAGTGCATGTATGCATATAAATGATGTGTGTGTTTGTTAAGCTGGGACAGATCTGTCACACACACACACACTGCCACTTCCCCTCCTCTTACAGCTTGTCTAGTGCAGATTATCCTTGCTAACGACCGCTTACACAAATCTCTGTGCTTTAGACGGTGTGTGTGTGTGTGTGTGTGTGTGTGTGTGTGTGTGTGTGTTGAGTGGGTGGAAATGAGTGCTCCACAAATATCATAACACAAAACAAAGGATGTCATCAAAATGTGATGACACAGACCTCATCAAGCCAAACTGAGGAGTAAAGTGGCATTAACTGATAGCATCTCTTTCCCACACAGCTGAAAGTCATTTCCACAATGCAAGGGTGTTCGTTGTTGCCAGGGCATTGTTATATGGTTGCTAAGGTGTTCTTAGTGCTTATGTGGTTGTTAGGGTGTTGTGAGTGATTGCTCGGCTGTTGCTGGGTAGCACACATTGGAACACTTCAAAAGAGACTACCTCCATATTCTGTCTTATTCTGTCTTATTGAGAATTAATTCAAAATTATAAACAAATCTATGTTCTGCGCCAAATGGCACTATTTTCCAGCTGTCTTTTTACAGGTGCATCTCAAATTAGAATGTCATGGAAAAGTTCATTTATTTCAGTAATTCAGCTCAAACTGTGAAACTCGTGTATTAAATAAATTCAATGCACACAGACTGAAGTAGTTTAAGTCTTTGGTTCTTTTAATTGTGATGATTTTGGCTCACATTTAACAAAAACCCACCAATTCACTATCTCAACCAATTAGAATACTTCATAAGACCAATAAAAAAAAACATTTTTAATGAATTGTTGGTCTTCTGGAAAGTATGTTCATTTACTGTACATGTACTCAATACTTGGTAGGGGCTCCTTTTGCTTTAATTACTGCCTCAATTCGGCGTGGCATGGAGGTGATCAGTTTGTGGCACTGCTGAGGTGGTATGGAAGCCCAGGTTTCTTTGACAGTGGCCTTCAGCTCATCTGCATTTTTTGGTCTCTTGTTTCTCATTTTCCTCTTGACAATACCCCATAGATTCTCTATGGGGTTCAGGTCTGGTGAGTTTGCTGGCCAGTCAAGCACACCAACACCATGGTCATTTAACCAACTTTTGGTGCTTTTGGCAGTGTGGGCAGGTGCCAAATCCTGCTGGAAAATGAAATCAGCATCTTCAAAAAGCTGGTCAGCAGAAGGAAGCATGAAGTGCTCCAAAATTGCTTGGTAAACGGGTGCAGTGACGTTGATTTTCAAAATGGCATGTCACCATATTCTAATTTGTTGAGATTTCATGCCAAATGTCATCTCATTTCATGCCAAATAGTACCACATATAGTGACAGTGCTGCTTTGGTTAAGGCTATGTTAAGGCTATTTTAAAAAGTACGTTATATGGTACAGCAGTTATAAAATCCTTGACACCCCAATTTTCAACAATTTCAGATCTTTCATTAGGCATTTGCATTTCTGTGGATTTATAGATGAGAACTGGTACTATATGCAAACTCATACATTTACATTTATTCATTTGACAGACAATAAGTAATAATATTGATATTCATTCAGTAAAGATTCATCAAGACTGACTCTAACTAATGAGTCTGTGAGTCTTTTTGAACAATTAAAAAGAACTAAAAGTATTTTATTCATGAATTGGACAACACTGATTGCGCTTTATATCTTTGACTCCCTAAAAACAACCTAAAACCAGTAACCTCATAAGAATCATCTGTTTGTGAAACAGACAACACTGGTCATGCTGTATGTTTGTTTTTGCATGCAGCCCACAAAGCCGACACAATATGTGTTTTCTTGCCATTATTTTGCAGCACATTGTCTTTTTTTCCATGTCATCACATTTAATTTAGACAGCAAAATAACATTCATAACCCAAGTAAAACATGGTTTATTTTGCACACTGCTGCTGAAGATCTAACACATGCACAAATATAAAGATAGTTCACCCAAAAATGAATGACTTTCATTTTAATCTATTCCTTAAACAAAGCTTTGCATAGTATTACTTTAAAAATATTTATGTCACAAGTCGTATGGACTACTTTTATGGTACTTGACAACTCGCAGTTCTTTTTAATATCATGGAAAAGACATGAGTGTGCATACATTTTTCCTATTAACTTTCTATTAACTATTCCTCCGGCTATGTAAGGAAAAGTTAGAGACAACACAAATCCACTGTTCTTCAGGAAGTCTCTGGGAAACAGACTGAATCTCACAGTCTAATACATTTCTTTCAAACAAAACCCTGAAACTAAATAATCATGCCTTTGCACACTCTCTCTCTCCCTCCCTCCCTCTATTTTTTAACTTGTAAACTTTACATTATTCCCGGTCATGTTTTTCTTTTTAAGGTCACTCTCTCACACTCTCTTGCTGTGTTTGATTGTATATGTGTTGCGGTATGATGACAGATCAGGGCTGTAAGGCTGACAATGCCAAGTCATGCCAGAGAATTTCAAAGTAGTCATGTGTCTCTGTAAAATCACATTCATTAGCGCCCAGTGAGTCCACTGAAGTGAACGGATGGCAGTGCATGTCTGACTTCTCCAAGTTATTGGAGACACACACACACACAAACATAATAAATATAACCACTGGCTTGCTTAAAGGATGTACTGTATGCTCAGTGATGCTGACAAATGAAGATGAATGAAGCACACACACAAACATAAAAACATTACCAATATTCATAATTATGACAATAAAGACAATTAATAGATTGTAAAAGTAAAAGATAATCACGTCATTGTCATAAACATAATTACCTTCACCTACCATTGCAAACATACGCTTCACTGCACCGACATTTAAATTCCCTACAAATATACACCATGTACACGAACATGGGTCACTCACATCACCGCATGTGTACTAGACCTGCCAGGCCACGTCTCTAACAAAAACAATTCTATGTTTGAGTTAAGCCATGTCATTTTGTCAGTCACTTGGTTTCTATTTCTGTCTGCTGGGTAGCTCCGCCCACAGTGAGATCTCATTGGTCCAAAATTCTGCTCCATTTAGCTGCATATTAATGTTTAAAAAAATTGTTTAGACACTAAAAGTGGTACTTGAGGCCCGCTCAGTGAAACCATTCGCTCAAATACCTAATCTTTAGACTAAGTCTGCAAAGTACATTACATGCTTTAAATTCAGTTTGCTTTTGTAAAACAAACATTTTGCAAAATTCAGTTCTCTACACAGTTCTCTACATTACACACACCATTCAAAACTAACAGCTCTTTTGTTTCATTTGGGAAACACTGCCATTTAAATGCCACACTCATTTACTGATGACCGATACCCAGTGATCATGTGTGAAAACACTTATGATGTGTTCACTTAGAAATCAAAACACAGTGTTTTGAGAAAGAAATTATTTTTACCCCCTTGCATTTCTGTTTACATTGTATATATATATATATATCACACTCTGAATATGCATACAAGCCAAGTCAGAAAGTCAACTTTATTTCTAAAGTGCTTTATACAATATAGATTGTTTCACAGCAGCTTCCCAATAGTATCAATTTCAAATTCTGCTGTAAAGCAGCAATAGTGTCATTACACAGTCAGTTCAGTATTGATTCAGTTCAGTTGCATAACTGTGAAAAATTCATCAGTTGTACGTACATACATACAGTATATACAGTGTGTATATGTGCATATGCATGTATGTGCGAGTGCTATGACAAACTCCTGTGCACTCCACTGCACTCTGAACAAGCAAAAAACATATAGTGTTTTATATTTTTCACATATTGTGCGTCGTTTGGGCGTGTATGTAGCTAATTATTTTATGTTTGTGTGTACAGTTACTACCCAAAAATACCATTTTTAGAAGAGTTAAAATAGTTTTGAATGAAGTTTGCTTTTGCAAGATATGTGTTTTATATATGTGGATGTTTTGATATGTGTTTTGCATGTTTTGTGATTTTGTGTGTAGAGTTTTGAGAAATGGAGCTATAGTTTAAAAAACTGTGTAAGCATTTTTTTTTTTTTAACTGCAAATATCAAATATGTTCTTGTTGTGTTATGTCACTCAGCATTTCCACCTTTATTGAACATAAAATTAATGTAAACTATAGTGTAGTGGCACTACATAAAAATGCTATGCTAGTATGCTTGTATTTTATATGACTTTAGGGAGAGGAAAAATTGATTCAGTTCGATTTAGTTGCAAATGGTGATTCTTGAGGACAAATGACTTTTTAAATTATCATTAATATGAATAATCAATTTTTTTAAATGACAGTAAAATGATTGACAACAAAAAAGTAACCATTTTTATGTACCATTGTGTTCAATAGTGATAATCCCTATTACCTTTACTAACTTCAGTAACACTTTAGATTAGGGAGCACATATTCACTATTAACTATGCTATTAAGAGTTTTCCCTCAATAAACTCCTAATTTGCTGCTTATTGATAGTAAGTAAGGTAGTTGTTGTAGTAGTTATGTTTATAATATAGTGTTCCTGTGGCCCAGTGGTAGAGCATTGCGTAAGCAACGCAAAAGGTCGTGGGTTCAATTCCCAGGGAACACACATACTGGTAAAAAATGTATAGCCTGAATGCACTGTAAATCGCTCTGGATAAAAGCATCTGCTAAACGCATAAATTAAATTATTAAATTATGTTTAGGTAGAAAGGAACACTCCACTATTTTTGAAAATAGGCTCATTTTCCAACTCCCCTAGAGTTAAACAGTTGAGTTTTACCGTTTTCGAATCCATTCAGCCGACCTCCAGGTCTGGCGGTAGCACTTTTAGGTGTAGCTTAGCATAGATCATTGAATCTAATTAGACCGTTAGCATCTCGCTCAAAAATGACCAAAGAGTTTCTATATTTTTCCTATTTAAAACTTGACTCTTCTAGGCCGATATGGCTAGGAACTATACTCTCATTCCGGCATAATAATCAAGGAACTTTGACGTACCATGGGTGCAGCAGGCGCAATGATATTACGCAGCGCCTGAAAACAGTCCTAGCTAGGTAACTTCCAATAAGCCTATTTTCAGGCGCTGCGTAATATCATTGCGCCTGCTGCACCCATGGTACGGCAGCAAAGTTCCTTGATTATTACGCCGGAATGAGA